TTGAGCCGAAAGCACTAGCACTGCGCGAGGATTTGCCCGTGAGAATGTTTTTGCCGTTTTACGGACGACGCGGAATGAAAACTTTCCTCCGACATCTTCCTTTCACTAAATTTAACTTCCCCCGACTTCGGCCTCCGGGAATCTCATCAGAGCTGCAGCTGCCGTACTTTGAGCATTAAAAACGAAGATCCGGGGCAGTTTTTCGCGATGGAATTTATAATTCTCGTGCGACGTACTTCGCGGCTATTGGACGCGACGCTTGACGAGACGACGAGGAGACCCTGGGGAGACTAATGTATGGATGTAAGTGCTGCCTATTCGAGATCTAATACATAAACGCGGTCGGAACAACTTTCCAGAGAAGATAAAAACCTTCTTATACTTATACGACCTAGTTTTCCAACTCGGGTAAAAACGGACAGTTTTACTCTTTCTTAAAAGTTGTGCGAGAGAAGATAACACATAAAAGTGCATAATCAAAGATTGCGTAAAATTCAATTCAATTTCAATAAAATAAAATTTTAATGAAAATCAATTTAACCTTGTTAGGATGGGGATCTGTTTTAAAAATCATAGCTTTTGCTTGATTAAGATTTGTTATAATTTATGATTTTTTATTGTATTTCTTGCTTTAAAATATGATAATATTTCAGTGCAGATTTATAGTGGCTTTCCCGTCTTGTAAATGTTAAAAAAATGTATTTTAAAGCATATTTTGTTGAAAACTAATTAAGAACTACATATAAACAACTACATTATACGTTATAATACTGCGACAAGGAGGAGAGAAACAGAGAGGAACGAATGTAATCGTTAAACTAATCAGTTAATTGATTTGCTTATTAATATACGCGATTGTTCATTTATCGGTAAGGCACACTGTTTAGCTGTTAATTTATAATTGTTTACGCGCATAGAGAGGAGTAAATTGCAATCATCGTTTAATTCATCGCTCAATTTAGAACAGCGATGTACATAGCGATAGTTAGCAAAATGTAATGATAGTCGCGCTATATGGGAACGAATTTGAATAATAATCAGGACAATGTATCGGCTGAAGCGATTACGGCGATGACGTTGCTGATACATTCGCGACACATGCAATTAGTCGTACGCGTTTCAATTACCATGTCGTTTTAATATAATCCGTGACATTGGCGCAATTGGGAAGAATGTTGCGAATAGATAAACATCTAATTGCTATCATGAATGTAATTACGAGCATCGCAACACGCTTTCGATTTCATTGCCTGCGCGCTATTCACGTCGCTTTGCTTAATAGCCGGAACAATCCAGTCGCAGTAAATGTCAATCGTAACCGTTCCAGTGAACAGTCATTTCAATGAATTGCCAGGGTACGACAATGTTTTGCGGCAATGATCGATATGTTACATATGTACGTGAAACATCGTCGTTTTAACGATTTGGTCAACTTCAATTACAAGTGACCAGTGTAAAATATTATATATATATATGTCTAAAATAGTTTATACTCGTTGCTCGTGATTGAAGTTGTTCCAAATTGGTACGCTTGAAATTTCAAATTGTGTTACGCTTCTCAAGTAATTTTAACACTTTTGCATGTCTCAGAAAGTACGTCTTTAAATGAAAATTAACATTTTATTTTTTACGTACATATACAAGGTGTATTCTAAAAGTATTCTAAAAGATTTTAAAGAGTGATTTCTCACATCGATTTAAGACGAAAACGTATGATTATATATTCAAAACAACTCTTATAAAGATCAGAGTATCAAAGTTGAAGGAAATATTTTATTTAAAAAAAGAATGTACGTCTTCCAAAAAATAAGTCTTCAAAACATGATCTTTATACATACAAAGTTTTACCAAAAGAATCCGAACAGTTTTTGAAATTTTTGAAAAGGTTTAAATTAATGTGAGAATCATCTCTTAAAATCTTCTATTTTATTTTTTACATCCTGTATTATATATGTATTTGAGAAGCGTAAGAATGTAAGAAAATTGGAAAGTCGTGTGCCAAAACTTTTCTCGATACTTTTGCTTTAAAAAATATCGACTTCGAAATTATTAAAAATTTATTTAAGTTACATTAAAGATTAGCGGTTGATCCGACAGATGTAGATCGGTCTGTCCGTTCTGTAAATAAGTTTAGTTGGAAACGTAACGGATGCTCCTAAATGCCGGTATTAAAGTGCTATCTCTAGTGAAATATTTCCAACATCGTGCGATGATCCTGCGAAATGTGGGATGCCTACATGCATCGCTTATAGTCGCTGCACATTACGCATATAGATTGTACACGTGCTCGCCGTCTCGTCTCCGTATATTTCCCTTCATAACGTTAAGTGCGTCCTCAACTATGTAATGAGCCGTAATATTGCGTATTTCCACGGTATACCCGTATATTTCGAGTTGTCACGAATGATCATCGAATCCGTTTGAACTGCTAAGCCAGCAAGTAGAATCGTAATCAAATCATTTCGACTAGTCAACAAGTCTTGTATCCGCAGATAATAATCGTGGCCAAATTAAATATATATGGAAAGTGCATTAGTAAACATAGCAAACAATTTTGCTAAAATATTCAAAAATTTTGGCAGATACAGATCTGAAAATAATTTTATTGAAATCAAAATAATTATTTAAAATGCTTAAGCTTCGACAATTCCGTGAAAAGCTTTAACATTCTAACATTTCTGGCAAGCAGTTTAAGCGTCAAATAATTATTTTGATGATACAAACAAAATTATTTTCAGATCTGTAACTAATTAAAAATCTTAGATTCTCTTAGAACAAAACCGTTCGTTCTGTGTAGTAAAATATAGGTACATGAACTGTAAGACATGAAGAATAATGCGTGATAAATAAAAATAGGACTCGAAATTTTTTTTGTACGTCTTCCATATAAGACACATGGTAACATCTAGTGCGAAACACTGATCGCACTTTATTCTGGTCAATTCACTTAGATCAAACATTTCTGCAGATTAAACATTGCACAGGTTGGAGTTTATGTCTTGGGGTCCGGTGAAGTGGTTGCAACTTACATTTGTCAAAGCCTCGACTTAGTCCATTAAACGTGTTCAGATAAAAGTGCCAAGTCCGTGATAAATGATACTAAATTCAATGGTATTGTGCACTATTTGTTACTCGCTGTGGAAGTTTCTAAAGGAAACACTTTGGCTTCTTTGTAATTTCGTATTACTCGTATCAACCTTTTTATTGCTTCGCAATGCTCGTACTCATTACCCAAGCTACTTAATCACTTCTTAAATACTATACAGAAATTAACTGAGTTCAAGAGCTTAACGGTATACCATATATCAATTTTGTGTAATACATTTTCATATGAAGTGTGTCACACGAAATCATATCATAATTTTCTTTAAAGAAAAATAAAAATATTGCCCAGAAGTTTTCAAGTTTACTATTTTCATATTCCTTTATCTTATAAGAAAATAATGTGAATATAATTATAACATACTAGTAAAAAAATTGATGATTTTCATAATAAAATAAAAATTTTTTGAGGAATGTTTTGAACACTCCATCTATTAACTTGCGTATTTTTTACTTTTAAAGCCCGTTTTTACAATATAAGGTTACCAAAGATTAAAAGTTACCAAGAGATTCATCAGTGAAATTCATTCATGAATTTCGAGGTAACCTTTAATCTTTAGGTAATATTTTATATCGTGAAAACGAGCTTTAAAAGTAAAAAATACGCAAGTTAATAGGTGGAATGTTCACAACACTCTAAGAACAATTTTAATTTTAATAGTTATATTTTTTACTAGTACACTATATTACGGTTAAATTTACATTAATTATATTCTTATGAAGTAAAGGAATGTAAAAATAATGAACTCTAAACTTCTAGGTGATACTTTTTCTTTTCCTTTTCTAGCTTTTAAAGAACACTGTATCTTTAAGTGCAGTGGCCCCACCTAAAGGTTAAGCGATCAATACAAAACTTGAAAATGTAATAAGTTTTTAATATCGTTGGCATAGTGCAGTACACACGCGTACAGTATGTGAAACAATATTTGCGCATCCTATCTTGTTTGGAAAAATTTTATACCAACAAGAAAGTAATATCATAATGTATTTTTATTAAATTATGTTTTGCTTATAGTATGCTGAATAAAATATATTATAGAAACACTTTTCCTTGTTATATAAAATTTTTTCAAAAAAAGAAACGAGATGGCCAAATGCTCTTTTTATCCACTGTATACGTACGTATACTTGGATATAATACATATAAGTTATATTATATATAGAACCATAGCATATATTCTATATATAAGTGAACTGTATAATGTTTCACCGTATCAGTAGAAGCAGGAAATTGGAAAGTCAAGCTTTCGCTGCTTGTTCGATCTTTCTTCATTGTCGCGCTATCCTATCCTGACAATATCTTAGATGCCTATTTCAAAAAGCTTTACGGGCCAGAGTCTCATTTATCATTCCTGCCATTAATACGTACGTGTCAAATTTGTCGACTAAATCTAATTACTAGATAAATTTACCGAATACATCTCAGAGAATTCTCGTTTAAACATTGCTAAAAACAGCACGTTCTTTAAATAAACTTGATAATTAGAATCTTTAAATAATCTTCGGACGCGGAGAGTTTCAATTTTGTCAGTTTTTATCTTTCATATCATGTCTCTTCACGTGAAACAAAAATCCGTGAGTACAAAATGTGTCCCCGCTTTCTATCTCGCATACTCTTCTCCCTATTTCACTCGAAAGCATTCCACGCAAAGATAAAACTACTTCGTAAAAATAGACTTGTCGTCGACAGACATTTATTTCTACAGTCGCGACAGTTCCGTTTGTACAAGAGATTCTACTTCGTGCAGCGGACGGAAGCTGACGCGAAAAGCCGAGGGCAGGAAATTCGATAGGGAGGCCTCTTCCTCTCACCCCTTTCGTCCCTTTCCACCCTCGCATCTTGCGTATCGCACCCCTTCGCTCGCTTCTTTTAACCCGGCTGCTGATTTAATTTGCAGGTACCTTGGCGGACAGGCCAGACTACAAGCAGTTCGCCGGCACTGTGCACGTAATGAAGGCCGTTGCCTCGGACATGGTGTTGACTTTCTGTTCCCGGACTCCCGACCATCAGCTCTATTCCCTCCTATTGTCACGTGAGCACACTTTGCAGAAGAGCGACAAACGAGGCGTTCATAATCTCCTGGGACGCCGCGGTCTGAAGATCAACGGCATCCGTGAGACTTGCGTGAACGGCGGCGCCAGATCAAGACGAAGCGCGTTCGATCTCGTCGTCTGGATGACCCTCGTCGGCCTGTTCTCGTCGAGCGTCCTCTTCAGATCCTGGCAGTAGTGAAATCAGACGGACGATCGATCGATCTCGAGACGCTCAAATCGCGCCCGACTGTGTCTCGGACTAATTAACGCGATTATACTAACACTTTGGATGCTGCCGCGCGAGTAATCTCAGAACATTACGCCGAGTTACGGAAATCCGTTGACTGCACTCGTACACGTGTTATGTTAGTTACGTATCTAAGATGCCCTCGCGCCGAATTAAATAATAATTTTCCCGTCGCGATATTCTGCGTAATTTAAGTTCTTGCATGGAACAATTTTTAATTACGTATCTCTCTTTCGAAAAAAATTTATATTATGATTTATTACATTACCATAAACTGTTTTTATTAACTATTTTAAATTATTGCTACATAAAAAAAAACAAATATTCTCTACGTGGTTACAAACCACGTTACACATATTAACTTTTAAACGCCACATTACGGAAACAACACACTGATCAGTACAGGCATACCCAATTCAAATCGATTGCTTGTAACTTTCATAAAAATTGACATGTTGTAAAATTTTTTTCAATTAAGTTAAAATGGCAGGCATTAGGGACATAACGGTACCAAACAAATATTTGTTCGTACCTTTATTAATGAAAAAATCGAAAACAATGAAAAGAGTATTGGAAAAGCATTGGAAAAATAAAGCCGATAATAACGTAAAAGCGTTTAAGGATTAGTATTAATAAAACGTATTCAGCAGTGGAGTTTTTTAAATTTAAAATTAATCTCACACGAAGCAATTAAAAAGTTCTATTTATTGAGAATTTTTTTTTTCATCAGTCTAACATACTTTCAGTGCGTGTCAATCGATACACGAACTAATTTTAATCGAAACGAGGAAGTCGCATCCAAAGGGTTAAAATTACTATACTGCACGGCGACGGACGCTCGATCATTGACATCGAAAATTTCTGTCGTTATTAACTTAATTTAATGTCATCGTGGATACTCATCAACATCAATAGAAGGCAGAATTGCGATTTAGATTCGCGGCGTTTCCGGTCTCAGGTAAATCGCATAGAAAGAACATATACCACGTCAATTTGTGAACCACGAGATTTGTGATTCGACGACTTTTAAGGGGATCAGATCGTGAGAAGCGCAGCTGAGATCGAGAGCAAGAGAAACATCGATATCATCTGCGATTTCCGTGGAAGCTTCTTCTGTTCTATTCCCTTATAATAAATTCCTCGGATCGTCGGCCCTACGAATATTTTTCAGCGACGTCTGCTGTCGTTTGTTCCTTCGTCGAGAATGAATTATCCATTAGGAGATTTCTCTCCCTCGTGGACCCTCGCTCGTGGACATCCCGCTCCGCAAGGTTTTTAATCAAAAGCCTTTGTAACGAGCGTAAAAAGTTTGCCGCTAACAAAACGCGTGTATTGCGACAAAGTTTATTTTTTTCCTGATATTTTCTTGAATTATATGCCTAACACGTATTCCCTCTCGCAACAAATTCGCTAAACAAGGTGATTTTACATCCGTTTTTATTAAAAAGTTTGTTTCAAATGTTCTACTTAAAGTAACTGTATTAGATATTTATAGTTATATTAGCAAATAATTATATTTTGTGTGTTCAATAATTATTGGGTGCTTTCCAATTGATGACACAAGTCGACACAAGTGTCGTTCTATCTTTGTCACTCTCTGAATGTCAACAAGGATAGAACGACGCTTGTGCCGACTTGTGTCGACTTGTGTCATCAAATGGAAAGCACCCATTGTGTGTTTGACAAAACTCACAGTCAGTCACTTCTTTTCTTTTTGAAGTTCCATAATGCTCCGAAGATTTTTTCGCATTGAATATGATGTTATTATTAGAATTTGCGTAGCATATCAGGATTTTTAGTAAATTGAGGAGAAATAAGCAAAAAAATCATCCCAATTTACTGTCCAATTTATTAAAAATCTTGATGTGTCATGCAAATTTTGACGACAGCATCGTATTCAGCACAAAAAAATCTTCGAGGTATGTATTAATATGGCACTTCAAAGAGAGAAAAAAGTGATTTTTTGTTTTAAACTGTAATTATACAGCAAATCTAACATTCAAACAGGTATATCTTGATAAAAATAAGTACAATTATCTAACAATGAACTAAAAGTAATTTGAAAACTGTTGAATTACAGTTTTAGGTGCCATAGTAGAGTTTCATTTTGTCGATAAAAAACGTTGAAAATGGCCAAAAATGTTATTTTTTGTCCATTTCACCCCAATTTACTCAAAATTTTGACGTGCAATACAAATTCTGCTAACGGCATCGTGTTCAGAACGAAAAAATCTTCGGAAAAAATATATACTAGGACACTTCGAAGAGAATTTGAGTGTCGAACAGCGTTTTATTTGCAATTATTATTTTTCAAACGTAATATTACTTTTTTATGACACGGATTTCAGTTTCTACGAATAGATTTGGCGTAAGAAGAGGAAAAGGCAGGAGGAAAAGAGCAGTTTTATTTCCGCAGTTTTACTTCCGCAATTTCAGTAAAGTTGTTAAGATCACTTTGCGTTCATTGCAAAAATACATGTCTTTCCTATCCTTTCTTTAATAGCGCACATCCCAACGAAATCTGTAACAGACAGAAAGAGAAAGAATGACGGTACATCAGAATCTCTTGTGCGAGAACCAAGCCTAGGATTTTCCGAAATACTTTTCCGATAGCTGTGGGACGCGCATCCGTTTGACGCACTCCTTGGCATCTCTTTGACCACATTGAGAGATGTTCGAGCACGATACTAACGTTCTCTTTCTATCTTTCTATTCCCTTTCACCATATACTTGTCCGTCAGAAAAGTTTCCTTGAATTGCCTTATCGCGGAGAACATCTTGATGTGCCCCGAGTCGCATCTCGTCGATAAAAGAGCGCGGATTACGGGGGAGAAAAATGGGAATGCAGGACCAGTGGGTGTCTGCATTCTTATGTGTCTCCGTCAAATAGACGAAGAGATAGAGAAGACGAAAGAAAGGGAGAAAGACAAGCACAATGAGGTACGCTCTCGACGATTTCCACTGATGCAGCAACCTCATGCAGATTGCAGAACTGTCTGAACGGCGATAATGCCATGCTGTGGCAAGAAGTCCCCCGGGTTTCGCTCTTGCCTCTTCCGGAGCTTTTCGTATACGGAGTGCTCTGTACTGGTGAGCATGTACTAAGAAAAAAATATTGTTCATATATATATATATATATATTTAATTAAATTACTTTAGTCCGTCTTGATTTCTTTCGTTATAGAATGTACGTGTAATTTAAGTCAAATATAATACGTTTGACTTAAATATATTCTTCATAAAAAAAAGAAAGACGAACTAATTAATTTAAACAAATGAACAATTTTTTTCTCAATGTACACTGCGGTCTCTGTGATCCAGTTCCGTTTACGTCTTCAAACGATAGGTCTGTCGCGTTGCTTGAAATCTTCACAAATTTTTGCACTTAAAATGAAATAAATATATTCAAATGTTAAAAAAAAGAGAGAAAACGAAGATGCTGAGTGTAAAAAGTTCAAATAACGCGAACAGATCTAAAGGTTTGCGTTAGCAAACAAAACAGTGCCAGTGCAGTGAGCGCTCAGTAATTATTAATTTAATATACTCTTTGTAGGCACGCTGGGTTTTTTTTATCCAGGCGAAATTTCACTCTCAAATTTGTTTGCATAAATTTGAATTTTTATTGAATAAAGGTTTTAACATTTGAGTTAAATAACTGTTTGGTAATGTAGTAGAAAAATGTAGCAAAAATAATCCTGAATTTTTCTAGATTTTTGAAAGTCTGGGACACTATAAGAATTGGGGCTGAACAAAAATTATTTAAAGTGCTTATGAAGTAAAAATACGTATGTCTACAAAGGGTGCATATAATTGGCTTTCACCTTTAATTCTATATTGGAGCTAAATGTAGAACCAATCGTATAAATAAATAATCACTGATCTATTTTGTCTGGTAAACTCAACTAAAGAGACGCTGCGGTTTACGATAAAAGTTGCCTATGTGCCTATTTGAGTGACAATTGATCTATCACGATCTTTTTTTATCTATCATAATTCTTTTTTTATTTTTTCTTTCATAAATAAAGACTAAATCTTTCTCATAAGAATTTTAATCTTTTTTTTTATCATATGATGCAAACAAGTTACAGATACATTTTTAAAGATCATTTCATTCTTCTATTATTGTAATCATGATACATAATAGACTTTTTTACAGAGTTGGATAAGTATTGTAAAAATCTAAAAACTTATGAAATCTTTTTCAATAAGACACCCTATATCATCCAGTTCGAATCACGTATAACTCGCGAATGTCGCGACGTCGTCGTCGCGACGTCGGCGTCGTCCTATTTCGCTCTTCGCATAACGAAATCAAAACCTCCGTAGTCACGCCTGGAATTTTCAAACAACTACGCAAGTAGGTAATCGCACGTTTTTCAAGATACCATCAACAATTATAGATTTATCAGCCTGATTCGCGCCGAAAGGGACGAATCCGGACAAATCGAGTCTTTTAAATGATTATCGAATTAATATTCCGTTTTCGGGATATTAAGAAAAAAATATATGAAGACCAGCAATAGCTTTGACTGTCGAATTTTTATACATCTCAGTGTTTCTAACGTTTAAAGTGAAAAAAAAGATGTATCGCTTCTGAATTTTTACACGCGCGTTATCGAAAAATCGATGTCTACACTTGAGACCGGTCCAACGTTGCGCGTATTTACGATAAGTAATTGTAATTTTGGCTAAAGTTCCGAAAAGGTTTTTACCCCACCTACGAATTTGCCGACGACGTCTATTACGGAAAAATGAAAAGTAAAATTTATCATTGCCATATTTTGCTCTCCATGCTATCATTTAATTTGCGATCCTAAATATTAAATAAAATTTCAAGTGATTTTATTATTTATAATGCTAGACTTTAAAATAATTCAAGGTAAATACACTTTTCGGAACTTTGCTTGTAATTTTAAGCGAAAGATTTAAGTGTTCAATTTAAATGAGTCAGTACGACTGGAAGTCGCGTAAATACAATAACTTTTTTTTTTTTCAAAAAATTTCGTCACAATCAGAATTTTATTCTAGAAACGGATGTTTGATTAGTTGAATCAACATTCTTTCTCTGCACTCTTCAAATGTTTTACAAAATAAAATACTGTTCGCAGTTAACTCTCCAGAAAGATCTGATTTATGCGGTTTCCAATCGTATGGATGCAAAT